TCTCTTGCCGCAGGTTCCCACAGGCCTCTGTAGCTTTGCATGCACCTCTGTTTTGCCTGAAGTGTGTGCTGCCTTGTCACACCTGCCTAGTTTTGGGGAGTCTTCTCTTTACCCCACCTGGTCCCACCAGCCTTCGACCCACCCACTGCTTTCATAACAGCCTGTGCCTTTTGGTTGTTCCCTTGGATTTGCCAGTCATTCTCCTCGCCTTCTTTAAAAGTAATCACCTGTGCTGCTTCCACTCCTGTCCCCACTCCCCTCCACTTACTGCCACCCAGGGTACCGCACATCAGCTGATTGCAGATTCACTGAATGCTTTGCAGTTGTTGTGAAGCATTCCTGTTTGGAACTCTTTATAATCTTGGCTTCTGAAACACCACTCTCTCCTGGTGCTTATAGGTGCTTCCTCACTCTCTAGCTGGTTCCTCCTCCTCTGCTCCTGAGTTCTGTCCTCAGACCTGTTTTCTCCACATATCTCTCCTCAGTAGTTCAGCCCTCTGTGGCTTCCGTTAAACATTCCCATATCTTACTCCTAATCTTGTTCTCTCTCTTTAATGCTGCTAGAAGCGCAGAGCCATCCGAATCACCTGCAAGCCTCCTCAGATCTTTAAATCAGGAAGTACAAGACTGTCATTGTCTTCCCCTACCCCCATCTTCATTTTGTGCCTCCCAAACCCAGGCCTGCCCCTCATGTTTTGTTTGCAAGGCCTGGGTCAGGAATACAAATGGAGCATCACATACCATATAAATCAAACTAAGAAACAAGAAATGTATTCTCCCACCCCCCCGCCGACCCCCGAGACAGATAAACTTTCTTAAAGACCTGGAAGATCAGGTTCAAATTGAAAAATCTTGGGCTTTTTAGAGTTGGGTGTCAGCAGTTCGAGGAGAGCAGGCCTCCAGCATAGCCCTCTTCTCTTCCCAGCCAGTGCTGTGCCCCCCAACCCCCATGATCTAGAGCTTGTGGACCCCCAACCCAACAGTTCACGCACCGTGTATACCCTGCAGATAGCTCCCCTTGGCCACCGCTTGTGGTACACACCCTGGAGGAGCATTCTGCTCGCCGCCTTGGGATTCTGGGGCTCGTGATGGCACATTCCCCGGACCCCATAATCACCACTGGGTGAGGAGGTGCCTGGTTGGGTGAGGACCAGCTGTCCCCGTAGATGGCCTGATTGTTTTCCTCTCCACATGTTGCCTCTCGCCTTCTCTGTGCCCTTGCTCCTCTTTCAAAAGCCTGCTCATCTTTCAGGGTATGGTTTCTACAGGCCTCATCTTCTTTTAATCCTCTCTTTGTTGCCCTTATTTGGACTTAATCTACCCAGCTTCTCCTTGGGTTTCAGAAGTGCTTTACTGTGATAAAGGCAGTGCATGCTGTCTGTTCCTGTCTCCTTCCCTCACTAAATTGCCAGTTTTTTAAGAGCAGGATCATTGTTTGGCTTTGCCCCCAGTACTAACACGAAGTCTCAGAAATGGGAAGTGCTTGACAAGTGTGGCTTGAATCCGCTGCAGCTCTGGTGTCACCCTCCTGTTGTTGTGGTAACCCTGTCAAAACAGGAAATGAGGTTAGTTTAGCATGACTTGTTCATAATTGACTCATGCTGGTTCCCTTTTCTTCCCTAAGCGATCACAAAACATCTGTTAAATAATCTACTCCAGAATTTTGTGGGCTTCTACTTCCACATTAACTGGTCAAATATAGTTCTGGAATCTCTGTTCCCACCCACCCTGGCCCTGGAATTCACCATGCATTTGGAGAGCCCTGGCTCCTTTTTTTAATTGCTTTCTTAAGAATTGCTTGATGAACAATATACCAGTGTACAGTTTTTTTGACATACACCCATTAAGCTATCATAACAATTAGATAATGAACACTCATCGCCTCCAAAAGTTATCTAGTTTCCATTTCCATTTGTGTAATCCCTCCCGCCCAGCAGCCCCAGGTAAACTCTTCTGATGTGCTTTCTGTCCTCATAGACTAGTTGGCATTTTATATAAGTAGAGGTACTTTTCTTTTGGTCTGGCCTTCACTCAGCATAATTATTTTGAGATTCATCTGTGTTGTATATATCAACAGTTTGTTTCCTTTTATTGCTGAATAGTAGGAATCTACCGTTTTAAGAACTGAATGTGCTCACCTCTGGACTTGACCTCCCATTCCCCACCATTTATGTATCTTAGGATAGAATTCATCTGGGACTTGAAGCTGCATTTATGTAAGATGACTAGGTGCTCTCAATAGCTTGAGCTCCTCAAGGGCACAGTAATAGTATAATCTTTGTATCCTGTTAGTATAACCAAATGGCTGGATAAAAGTTCCCTCCTTAGGGGTGTGTGTGTGTGTCTGTGTCTGTGTCTGTGTCTGTCTTTCTGTCTGCGCCTCTCTCTCTGTTTTATTTATTTACTTTAAATTTATTTATTATTTATTTTTTGTTGCATTGGGTCTTTGTTGCTGTGCACAGGCTTTCTCTAGTTTCAGTGAGCGGGGGGCTACTGTTCGTTGCGGTGCATGGGCTTCTCATTGCAGTGGCTTCACTTGTTGTGAAGCATGGGCTCTAGGTGCACAGGCTTCAGTAGTTGTGGCATGCAGACTCAGTAGTTGTGACTTGTGGGCTCTAGAGCACAGGCTCGGTAGTTGTGGTGCACGGGCTTAGTTGCTCTGCAGCATGTGAGATCTTCCGGGACCAAGGCTCAAACCCGTGTCCCCTGCATTGGCAGGCGGGTTCTTTTTTTTTTTTTTTGCGGTACATGGGCCTCTCACTGTTGTGGCCTCTCCCGTTGCGGAGCACAGGCTCCGGACGCACAGGCTCAGCGGCCATGGCTCACGGGCCCAGCCGCTCTGCGGCATGTGGGATCTTCCCGGACCGGGACACGAACCCATGTTCCCTGCATCAGCAGGCGGACTCTCAACCACTGCGCCACCAGGGAAGCCCGGCAGGTGGGTTCTTAACCACTGCGCCACCAGGGACACCCTCTCTCTGTTTTAAATAACATATCCAGTTCCAGTTTCATCACTGAGTGTCAGTCGGTACTGTTGGAGGGGCACACTGACCATAAGCCCCTCTCCCCAAGCAGTCTTATTCTCAAAGGCAAGTTTATGCCCGTGTTCGTTTGACTACCATGCTTCAGTAAAACTGGATATTTATTTATTTTTAATTTTTAAATATTTATTTATTTTTGGCTGCGTTGGGTCTTTGTTGCTGCGTGCGGGCCTTCTCTAGTTGCGGCAAGCGGGGGCTACTCTTCCGTTGCAGTGCTCCGGCTTCTCATTGAGGTGGCTTCTCTTGTTGCAGAGCATGGGCTCTAGGCATGTGGGCTTCAGGAGTTATGGCATGGGGGCTTAGTAGCTGTGGCTCATGGGCTCTAGAGCGCAGGCTCAGTAGTTGTGGCGCACGGGCTTAGTTGCTCCACGGCATGTGGGATCTTCCCGGACCAGGGCTCGAACCCGTTTCCCCTGCATTGGCAGGCGGATTCTTAACCACTGCGCCACCAGGGAAGCCCTGGGTATTTATAATGTTGAGTGTAAACCAATATTTTATAACTATTTTAACCTGTGTTCTCTTTTGTTGAAGTCAGGCTCTAAAATCTGAATTACCAAAAAAGTTTTGATTTCTAATAGTATTTACTCCCACTGTTGAATAAGCTTGCTTGAACGACATATCCCTTTGCCCGTCTACCTAAAAATCAGTAGTTTAGGCCTTCTTGCAGCAAACCAAAGCAAAATAAGATTTGAGTAGTTATTCTTTTATTTAAGGAAATAGACGTCATTTCAAAGTGTTGGGGTACCCGAGTGCAATGTATAAATGGTGTGAGAAAACTGAAGCTGAGTGAGACGAGGTCCCTCCTACAGCATAGTTTTGTGGTAGAGTCAGACAGATGCATCAGTAATTCTCAGTATAAGTAAACTGATAGATATCATTATAGAAGCACAAACTTGAGAATAAACTTATTTTACTGTTTCCTGTTTCTAGCACTTACCCAGAGGAGACCAGAAGTAATGTCTTACTGCCCGTCCGTGTTCTTTCATTGCTTCGGTCAGTGGACCAGATGTTGATACTTGTTAATATGAAAAGCTCTTACAGAAAAGATTCAATAGAATATTGTTCATAAAGATAGTAGTAATATTCAAGATTCAAATTCATCATAAAATTGAAGATAAAATTATTATTGCTTCTGCTTGGAGTTCTATTAAGTCAGACCTTCAGGACAACTTGGAAAGAACTGGGCCCTATGTTATGGCTGTGAAGGTATTTTTTGAACAATACTTTTTAGGTTTTGTTATAAGACTACCCAAACATCTTGATTAAATTTCTTGGTGGGGGGGAGAGGAAGAAATAGTCATGTCATTTTGCACCTAAGACAAAGTTGTTGCAAGCAATCAATGCATCCTCCTGCCCCACCTTTTAATTGAAGTATAGTTGACTTACAATATTAGTTTCAGATATACGGCATAGTGATTTAGTATTTTTACAGATTATGCTCCATTAGAAGTTATTACAAGATAATGGCTGTAATTCCCTGTGCTATGCAGTAGATCCTTATTGCTCTCTTGGGTGCATTTTTGTTTGGGTTGAAGATGTGGTTGATGGTCAATTGATAGTTTCTGCTGAGTCAGTGGAATCTAATCCAACAGTAGGAAGTTGTTTTGGAGGCAGAAATGATTGCTGTCACCAGAATGCAGTTGCTGTTAAAAACAGTGGGAAAATGGCTTATGTGTGTCATACACCCATGTTCCTGGATTTATGAAAATGGGCATCTGTACAGTTCCCAGGGCCAGGCCCTCTGTTAGTTTTGAGATTCTGTGTGTGCTGCGTTTTGCCAGCCGCATCCTCCCTAGCTTAAGGCCTCCTTGTGGATTATACACGTTTCCTTCACGTGTATGAAACAGGTATTTGCCCAGAGTGCTAAACATTTAATACTTTACCGCCTTGTTCTGAGAACTGTTTTTAATACCATCTCCCCTCCTCCCCTCCTTTTTTATTTATTTTTTTTAGCTCTGCTTATGATAATGTCAACAAAGTTCGAGTAGCTATCAAGAAAATCAGCCCTTTTGAGCACCAGACCTACTGCCAGAGAACCCTGAGGGAGATAAAAATCTTACTGCGCTTCAGACATGAGAACATCATTGGAATCAATGATATTATTCGAGCACCAACCATCGAGCAGATGAAAGATGTGTATCCTTTTCAGACAGCTGCTCCACTGCTCCGTCACCTGGTTGAGTAATGTAACTGGACGTGTCTGCACTTATAGGGGTGGAGGAAAAGTAATAAAGCACATTTAAGGGGAAACTACTTTGCTTGTCATTTACTCTAATACTTGCATCATTTACATTTTTTCTCTGATTCATATTTTCATTTGTCAGTAACTGATTTTAGTATCTTTTTGGCAAATCCAATATTTTCTGTCAGTTTCAGTAAAGATTTCCTTTAAGTGTATAGTGGAAATTTTTGGAGAACACCTTTTCCAGTCATGTGTTTGCCACTCAAGGTATGGTTTGTTATGACGGTGAAAAGGAAAGAGCAGTCGACTGTGGGAGAGGGTGCCCTGTACAGCACCTGGTCAGGTCCAGACTGTCCTGATCTTAGCGCCATTTCACATCTGGGTCCAGTTTTCTCGTTTTTAAAACTGACGTGCTCGCCCTCATGATCTACAAGGCTGGCTCAGCTCTGAAGTTGTGTGATTAACTATGACAGACATTTAGAAATCTGTACTAAGCAGGTAAAGGCTTGGGTAAAGGAGGCTGCCTGGGTAAAGACTGTGTTTGAAAGGTACAAGTGTGAAGTGTGCTGAGGAGGACCTGATGGGAGAAGGTTCCGGTTCTGGCCGCAGCAATGTTCCCACCAGTTTGCCCACTTTGCATTCTGCCCCTCCAGGGAGAGGCAGCTCACAATCTACAGGCAGCCTTTCCATTTTTATTTTATTTTTATTTTTATTTTTATTTTTTAGCCTTTCCATTTTTAAACAGCTCTGTCACTAAGTTCTGATGATATTTTAATTGAAATGCCTCCCCCTGCCATCTGTTGTCCTGCCTTACCTTTTGCCTTGAAAATCACATCTCTGTCAGATGACAAGTTTTCCAGTCATGTTTCCTTCAAATTCTGTACCATGTCTCATCTAGCATGAATCTGTAGATGTGTAATATTTACACAGAAATGAATAAAAGAAATGCAAAAACACTAATGAAATAATATCGTGGTGAAGTTAAAACCTAGCGGCTTTTATAATTTATTTTCTGTGGGAATGAATGAAGTTAGCCATAACTAAAATTTTATATGCTGAGATACATGGATAGGCAGGAAAACAAGAGGAGCTCAACCAGGACAGGCCCCTTCCTAGCACAACTTCCAACAGTCTTACATACTTATTTATACTCTTAACCTTAATTGAAGAGTGAAGCAAATAGACTGAGGGTTGAGTTTAGTAGCAAATGTGTTCTAGGCCTGTGTTTCCAAAAGTTTTATGGTTGATTTTTGTCGAGAAGGAGGGGGACAAGAAGGGAGGTAAAAGAGCAGTGACGTTTTGAGTTGTTGCTAGGCCAGAGAGGAGAGAGTGCCTGGTGCTGGCTCCCACCCTCCCCCAGCCCTTCCCAACAACCCCAGAGGATGTCTGTTGATGGTGGACAGGTTGGAGACCAGGACTCATCCACACCACCTGCGTCAGGTCTCCGCTAGCGCATCACTGCGCATATCAGGCAGGCGTGGTGCCTGCTGTCTCACAGGACCTAAGAAGGAGTTCATGACTTTCTGATTCCTTCTGTTGAGGTGTATCAAGTTTTCATCAGGTTCTCATTTCCCTCCCGAGCCTCATGATGTAATAATGGACCCTTTGGCTTCGTTTTGTTTTCAGTGCTTTGCTAAGTGTGACCAGCTATTTTGGTGTGTTACCTTAACCTTTCCAAACAGATATATAGTACAGGACCTCATGGAAACAGATCTCTACAAGCTCTTGAAGACGCAACACCTCAGCAATGACCATATCTGCTATTTTCTTTACCAGATCCTCAGAGGGTTAAAATATATCCATTCAGCTAACGTGCTGCACCGTGACCTCAAACCTTCCAACCTGCTGCTCAACACCACCTGCGATCTCAAGGTCAGCTTGGTTATTTACTCTTAGGGTGATATCTGTTGAAAAACTCATGTTACTGGGGCATATTTATATTTATTGTTATTCAGATTTAAAATTACACCAGAAATACATGAAAACATTCATGGCAAAAAAAATTGCAAGTAAAGGGTGCTAGTTCTCTTTTTCTTCTCCATCCCATTGCTCCTCCTTCTCTAGAGGTAACCACTATAACAAATTGGTGTATTTTCATCACAGTTTTTTCTATGCTCTTATATACACATGTACTTTTTTACTTATATATGTAAATAGGATTATGTGTACATTAAAAGATCTGTTTCATTGCTCACCTTTTTCTTTGATAAATTTTATACAGTAAACACTCAGAAAACAGCAGAAAAGATGACCTTAATGATTTCGATTCCTAAATAATGCATTCCCAATAAACAGGAAAACCCTAGATTCTTTTTTTTTTTTTTTTGCGGTCCGCGGGCCTCTCACTGTTGTGGCCTCTCCCGTTGCAGAGCGCAGGCTCCGGACGTGCAGGCTCAGCGGCCATGGCTCACGGGCCCAGCCGCTCCACGGCATGTGGGATCTTCCCGGACCGGGGCACGAACCCACGTCCCCTGCATCGGCAGGCGGACTTTCAACCACTGCGCCACCAGGGAAGCCCAATGCTGTCCATTTTTAAGAGAACTCTAAGGACTATAAAGAATCTAGGGGGGCTTCCCTGGTGGCGCAGTGGTTGAAAGTCCGCCTGCCGATGCAGGGGACGCGGGTTCGTGCCCCGGTCCGGGAAGATCCCACATGCCGTGGAGCGGCTGGGCCCGTGAGCCATGGCCGCTGAGCCTGCACGTCCGGAGCCTGCGCTCTGCAATGGCAGAGGCCACAACAGTGAGAGGCCCGCGTACTGCAAAAAAAAAAAAAAGGCAGCATTTATATATATTTCTATTTTAATACGTGGCAGAGCTAAATCAGGAGGGAGGTCTACAGCTGTCTCCAGTATGATGAAGGGAATGTGGATTCAGTCTAGAAAAAAGGCATGTGAATTTAAGACCTAGGTGAATGAAATGACATCCCATGTTCATGGATTGGAAGGCTTAATATTGTTAAGATGGCAGTACTTCCCAGTTTGATCTACAGGTTTAATGCAGTCCGTATCAGAGTCCCAGGTGGCTTTTTTTGCAGAAATGGGCAGGCTGATCCTGAAATGCATATAGAAATTCAAGAGACCCAGAACAGCCAAAACAATCTTATGAAAGAGCAAAGTTAGAGGATTCACACTTCTGATTTTAAAACTTATTACAAAACTATAGTAATCAAGACATTGTGATACTGGCATAAGAGTAGGCATATAGCTCACTGGAGTAGAATTGAGTCAATAAATAAACCCATATGTTTTTGTTTTTTCATTCATTCGTTCATTTATTCATTTATTTTCGGCTGCGTTTGGTCTTTTTTTTTTTTCCCGATATGCGGGCCTCTCACCGTTGTGGCCTCTCCTGTTGCGGAGCACAGGCTCCGGACATGCAGGCTCAGCGGCCATGGCTCACGGGCCCAGCCGCTCCGCGGCATGTGGGATCCTCCCAGACCGGGGCACAAACCCGTGTCCCCTGCATCGGCAGGTGGACTCTCAACCACTGTGCCACGAGGGAAGCCCTGCGTTTGGTCTTTGTTGCTGCATACGGGCTTTCTGTAGTTGTGGCAAGTGGGAGCTACTCTTCATTGCGGTGCACAGGCTTCTCATTGCAGTGGCTTGTCTTGTTGCGGAGCACAGGCTCTAAGTGCGCAGGCTTCAGTAGTTGTGGCATACGTGCTCCGTAGTTGTGGCTTGCGGGCCCTAGAGCACAGGCTCAGTAGTTGTAGCACACAGGCTTAGTTGCTTCGCAGCATGTGGGAGCTTCCCGGACCAGGGCTCAAACTCGTGTCCCCTGCATTGGCAGGTGGATTCTTAACCACTGCGCCACCACGGAAGCCCCAACCCATATGTTTATGATCTGATTTTTGACAAGAGTGCCAGGATCATTCACTGGGGAAAGAATAGTGTTTTCACCAAATGGTGCTGGGACAATTGGATAACCATATGCAAAAAAAAATGAGTTTGGGCCCCTCCCTGCCTGTACTATGTACAAAAATTAACTCAAAATGGATTAGAGATCTAAGTTAAAAGGCTGAAACTGAATGCACTTAAAAAACACAGGAGTAGGGGCTTCCCTGGTGGTGCAGTGGTTGGGGGTCCGCCTGCCGATGCAGGGGACATGGGTTCGTTCCCCGGTCCGGGAGGACCCCACGTGCCGCGGAGCAGCTGGGCCCGTGGGCCATGGCCGCTGGGCCTGCGCATCCGGAGCCTGTGCTCTGCGGTGGGAGAGGCCACAGCGGTGAGTGGCCCGCGTACTGCAAAAAAACAAAAAACAAAAAAACATGGGAGTAAATTCTTGCAAACTTGTGTTAGGTAGACTTCTTAGACATGACACCAAAAACACAAGCAACAACATTTTTTTTTTTATAATGGATTTCAGGGAGTTCCCTGGTGGCCTAGTGGTTAGGACTCAGTGCTTTCACTGCTGTGGCCTGAGTTCAGTCCCTGGTCGGGGAACTGAGATCCTGTAAGCTGCGTGGCATGGCATGGCATGGCGTGGCATAGCCAAAAAAAAAAAAAGTATTTCATCAAGATGAGAATCATGCACTACAAATTAAATCATCAAGAGAGTGAAAAGACAACCCCCAGAATGAGAGAAAATATTTGTAAATCATATATGTGATAAGAGATTTATATCTAGAATATATGAAAAACTCTTACAGCTTAACAACTAAAAGATAAATGGCACAATTTAAAAGTGGGCAAAGCATCTGAAAAGACCAAGGATCTAAAGAAGGTATACAAACAACCAATAAGTACATGAAAAAATGCTTGACATCATTAGTCAGTGGGGAAATGCAAATCAAAACCACAATGAGATACCTCTTCACACACACTACGATGATATAATCAGATGATAAGTGTCAGCAAGAATTCGGCCCCAGGTGTATACCTGAGTGGAATGAAAACATGCATCCGCACACAGACAGATATAGAAATATTCATAGTGGCGTAATAGCCCAAAGGCGGAAATAATTCAGATGTCCAAATGACGATGGATAAATAGAATGTGGTGGATCCATACAGTGTAATAAAAAGGAATGAAGTACTGATATGTGCTACAATATGGATGCATCTTTTTTTTTAATGGATTTTAATGAGTTATTTATGTTTTATTTTTGGCTACATTGGGTTTTCATTGCTGCATGCGGGCTTTCTCTAGTTACGGCTAGTGGGGGCTACTCTTTGTTGCGGTGCATGGGCTTCTCATTGTGGTGGCTTCTCTTGTTGTGGAGCACGCACGGGCTCTAGGCACACAGGCTTCAGTAGTTGTGGCACATGGGCTCAGTCATTGTGGCTCGTGGGTTCTAGAGCGCAGGCTCAGTAGTGTGGCACATGGGCTTAGTTGCTCCACCACGGCATGTGGGATCTTCCCGGACCAAGGCTCGAACCCGTTTCCCCTGCATTGGCAGGCGGATTCTTAATAACTGCGCCAACAGGGAAGCCCAATGTGGATGCATCTTGCAAACATTATTAAGTATGTGAGGGAAAGAAACCAGTCATAAAAGATCACGTATTGTAGAATAGATGTGTCTGTAGAGATGGAAGGTAGATGAGCAGTTGCTGTGGGCTGGTGGGATTGGAGAGGCATTGGGAGAGACTGCTGATGGGCACAAGGTTTCTTTTTGAGGTTATAAAAATGTTCTAAAATTGGATAGTGGTATTGGTCACATACCTCTGTGATATAATACCAAAAACCATTGAACTGCACACTTTAAATGGGAGAATTGTGTAGTATGTGAATTATATCTCAATAAATTTGTTTGAAAAGTACATATAGATAGATATATAGCAGTGATCATTTTGTGGACTTCACTTTCACAGACGTTCCTGTGGGAAGCTGTGTAAGGTATACCTGGCAAGGGAGGTGAGTGTCTGTCCCTGCAGTCTGAAAACTGATAGGTCAGGGGTCTGATAAGCAGTAGATGATTGCAGTACTGTCTGCTGTAACACACACAAAGGAGAGAGGTGAGTTGGTTCTGGCCAAGCTGTGAGGCATCAGGAAGGAGGATTGTCGTGCTGTCCCTCTCAGCATGTCAGGCTTGCAGTGGGCGAGTGGCTGTGTTGGGCGCAGGCAGAAGGAACAACAGAAATATAGTACGAATAAGAAAGGACAAGTGCACCAACACTGATGCCTGCGCTGTGTGGCTGCAGCTTTGGTGATCACTGAAGTGTTGATCATGAAGAGCCTTCTGGAACTATCTAAAAAGGCAGTGGGTCCTGTCATCAGGCAGTCATCTTATCCGCTGTCGTTGGGTGTTTAAAGCAGGATGGCAGATGTCCGGTGAGACGTTGTGGAAGACAGCTTCCTGCATCAGATATGACTCGGTTGGACTCTGTCACCTCTTAGGATCCTTCTGAGTTAAATTCATGTACTTCTACATAGGGTGTAGCCAGATCCCTGTGCATGGATCTGTGCAAATGAGAGCCAGGTTGGCACACAAGGAATGGCCGTACTTTGTCGGCTCTTAGTGATTTTCTTGAAAAATTACAGTGAAGAGCGGCCAGGCAGCCCAGCTTCGTGAAGGCTCTCGGCGCGCCGCGGCCCCCAGGCACCCAGCACGCGCCCGCCCCGCCACCACTATGCCCAAGAGGAAGGTCAGCTCCGCCAAGGGGGCGGCAAAAGAGGAGCCCAAGAGGAGATCGGCGAGGTTGTCAACTAAACTGGCTCCTGCAAAAGTGGAAACGAAGCCAAAAAAGGCGGCAGGAAAGGATAAATCTTCCGACAAAGAAGTGCAAACAAAAGGGAAAAGGGGAACAAAGGGAAAACTGCCTGAAGTGGCTAACCAAGAGACTAAAGAAGACTTACCTGCAGAAAATGGAGAAACTAAAAATGAGGAGAGCCCAGCTTCTGATGAAGCAGGAGAGGAAGAAGCCAAGTCTGATT